TCAATTATAAATTGATTCAATTATAAATCTCAATTATAAATTATATTTTTATTTCATTTATATTTATGAGAAATTATGAATATTCTAGACATTTTCAATATGAAATTCCCTTATTCATAATTTTATATGTTATCTAAAGTTTGAACATGCAACTTTTCTTTCTATATTGCCTTATTTTTTAAAATAAATAATATATTTCACTAGCTAATTTATTTCTTATCATTTCGTTAATAGCATGTATTTACAATTTATCTGTCTACGAAAAATGTAAATATTATATTTTGTAAATTTATATATAATAACAAATATATAATATAATAACAAATTACATATTGTAAATTATAAAATAATATTATAAATTAAATATTATAAATAAAATTTAAAAATTAATAAAATTTTAATATCATTATTCAAAAAAATAATTATATTACAAATGAATGATTTTTTTAATACTTTGATGATGAATAAAATACGATGAAATAAAAACAAATTTAACTTTAAATTTCAATATTTGACTTTGAACTTGGAAATTTAATTTTGAATTTCAATTTTGCAAAAAGTTTTTTAAATTGATCTCCGATTTTTTGTTAGATCATTGATTTAAAGATATTTTAAATAATCTAGCTATAACGAAATTTTCTTTTACATTCTTTTATAATAAGATAAAAAAAGATTTTAAAAAATAATAAATTTTAAGTTGGCGTCTCTAATCTTTATAATTAATAATTGCATTATAATTATATTATTTCAGTTTTGTTAATAATCCATTAATAATATAATAATTTAGAATTTTGGTGTATAAATTATTTTTGAAATATGTATATAATAGCATGGATTATAAATAATCCAAATAAAATTTAAAAAGTTTAACACGTTGTCTAAATAATAGTAAAAATAATAGTAATCGATTGAAATTTAATATTTTCAATTATCATCAATTATTCAAGATTAAAAAATTTACTTTTGATGATATAAAATAATAATAAAATTTCTGAAGAAGAAAAATGTAATCACTTATCCAGGAACTATTATGTTGTTTTTTTTATGCTTTTACATTTTTCTATTTGTAAATTACGAAATATTTATTAATACAATTTTTTTTATATTCTTCTTTTATATTTATGTTAAACGAAATCAAATAAATCAAATATTGAATATCTCTGGATGCAAGGCCCTTTTAACATGATAAACAAATTGAAAATTCTATATGAAAAAAATAAAGAAAATAAAAAAATAATAAAATTTATAGAATGAAATAATATGTAAATATATTAAAAGATTTAAGATTAGTAAAGAATAACCTATTTAAATTAAATCTGCATTATTATATTATTTACAAATTGTAAAATATAAATAATAAATAATTTTTTAAAATAATATTTTTGTTTATTATATTATCAATAGTTTCCTTTTACTTTTATTAGTAAATAAAATTTTATTATAATTTTTTTGAATATTATGAGTAATAAATAAAACATTTATAAAATAAAATAGAAAAAAATCATTAAGAATTAAGTAAAGAGAAATAATAATACAAATATGTATATTAAATAATTTAGTATTCAAAATTCATTCAAAGAAAGTATAATTAAATGATAATAAACTACATACTATTTGATTAGTATATGAAACATTTTGCTTAAATTCTCGATTAAAATAAAAAAGAAAACGTGATAAAAATATATTTTAAAATATATTTTTATGTGTCAATCAATCTTGTGTTTAGAGCTTTTCACCCAGATAAAAACACTCGTGCAATACCGATTTCTTGAAAATATATCAAAAACAATTGTATTCATGCAATCAACATTTATAACAACAAATGTAATTATTTAATAATGGATAAATATTTATCAATTGAATCATAATATTACGATTTCTTGTATATTGTGATTACCCAGTTATTACATAAACTACAATGATATTTTAACAAAAAAATAAACTTTTCAATCTGAAACATATTAATCATACTTATTTACACATGCATATTATAAGTGTATTCCATCGTGACGCATGGTTCCTTTATAAATAATTATTAATAATAATATGTACAATATAAGAATAAATACAATAGAGAATAAATTTCTTTGAATTGTGAAGAATAAAATTCTTTATTTGTGCATGTATGCAAGCATAGTTTTGATAAAATGTATGCTCAGATAAAAATTAATCAGCATTAAAAATAGATTAAACAGTAAGAAAAAAAAGTAATATATTACAATAAAAATGTTATAAAATATTTAAAATCCGCATTCGCACCGAATAGAAGATCAAGAGAATAATAAAATCGCTATTTATATAAATAAAATGCGTATTATTCTATGATTATGATTATTCTATGAATTAATGTAAAAAAATGAATTAATAAAAAAATGGAATTAAAAAAAATCTGTTGATATATATTATAAGCCATGCGTCTCGAATCAGCATAAAAATTCAATTAGATAAAAATCTATAAAAACGATGAAACGAAAATTCTATATAAATATATTAGAGAAAGATAAGAATATCACTAACCATTGTTTCTTCTGCTATGAATTTCTTGGTCCTCCGAAACAGGTTCTAGCAATGGCAAAGTATTATCTGGACAATAAGGCGAACTGAATGGAACGCCAGTACTACCTTCTGACATTCCCGCACCGTCTAAACCTGCGCTATGACAGCTACGTGGTAAACTGGAATATCCTATAAATTTAAAATTTATTAATATTATATTAATATTTTAATATAGATGAATCACGATAACTCAAATTTTAAAAGAAATTTTCAAGTTATTATCTCATTATATGTTTATTGAATATATATATTGTATATATTTATTTTGAAATATCAATTATAGAGGCCAAAACACAAAAGTTTACAAAAATTTAAATTGAGATTTTTTATTAGATTATAATTTTAGCTCGTATTATATAGAGATAAAGACAAACGAAAATAGAATAAGATAATAGTATGACAGAGATAGAATTGTTCCACTCTTATTTCCGTTTCATTTCATCCAACGAAATTTTTTTTTTTATAATTTAATAAATAAGTTTCAATAGATATTTTTGTATACCAACTTTTATACTTATTTTTATACTTATACTTATTTAACCTTTAGAATTAATCCTCAAAAAGTGAATAAAAAAAAAGAAATTCATAAGTTTTCGGATAAGTTTTTGTTATCGGACTCAATTATAACATTATTAATATTAATATAATTTATATTCTATATTCTAACATTATTAAAAATGAAAGGAAAAAAAGTAAATAATATCGAATATTCGAATAATATTCGAATATGACACATAATTAATTCAAAATTTAAAAAATTGTCGGACGAGAACAGTAGATTATCTTCTTTTCCATTAAAAATGGCTTAATTTTTCTGTAATGAATTTCCAAAGGAGAAAAATACATGACTTTCTTTATTACTACTACTATTAAATAAATGCATGACCGTTTCTGCCAAAAAGATGCATCGCATCCTGTCACGTATAGTTAAGATTACATATAATTAAGATTAACATGCATTATTTTATAATCATAATATTATTTAGTAAATATAAAATAATTAGATTGAGATAAATGAAATACAAATATTATTGATATGCCTCTATTTATTAGTAATAGCAATGAGAAAATTCATGTATTTTTCTCTTGTGGAAATTCGTTTGCTTATTATTATTAGCAATAACAATATGACATCATATATTTTTTTCCTATAAAAATTCATTTAAAAAAAATTGTATCAATTTTAATAATAAAGAGAATAGTATAATGTTTTAATTTTGCAATTCTGAACACTATTTTATAGGAATCAAAATTTTCACTTGAAGTTTCAAGAAATAAAATAATATATTTAAACATGTATCAAATAATTCGATTTAAAATAATTTTATATTCTTTAACTTTTATGTACATGAAGGTAAGATATTTACAGTATATAGCGAAAGAAATAAAATAAAATTTTACAAATGTACTGATATTGTATTGTATATATATTTATATGTATTTTAAAAAACTATTTATAATGTATTATTAAATTATTTATAAATATATAATTATTGATTCATCTAAGATTTGTATTTCATTTATCTCAATCTAATTATTTTACATTTAATAAATAATATTATGATTATAAAATAATGCATGTTAATCTTAATTATATGTAGATATAAAGAAAAGATACTAACTTATTTCAACAAGGTCTTGACTAGGAGTACTAGGGGTTGCTGGCACACTACTAGCTTTTCTTCTAAGACACGTAGTTTGACATCGCTGTATAGGTGGTTCTTCTTTCCGAAGTGGACCCGTTTCTTCTAATACCTCTTTTTCTGTTCTACCAGTATATTTAAATTTTGTACCCCAGGAAAAAATGGATCCACCGCTTACAACCGGTGCATCCGATGCCCTAGGTAATCTAATTAAAACAAAATTTACATTAATAATTTACTTAATTATTATATATAATCTTTGTACACATACATATGGAATTTCATTTATATGAACAATATTTTTCCAATATAATATAATTAGAAATAGTACATTATATCTATAATACAAAATAAATTAATTTCAAAATTATTTTTAAATTTATAATATTTAATCATTTAAAGAAAACGTTTTGTGAATATGTTTTGTCTTTTTATATGAATGTGAACTACTATTAATTGCACGAAAAATTATAATTGGTGAAGGAGTTAGATGGATTCCTATTATGTAAACAGTTTAGTTATGTTTGTTCTCTAATATGTTCATATAAATAAAATTCTATTGCATACATTTTTGTACAATCAAATGATTATATTAAGTGCAATAATTCATAATAATAATTTATAAACAACAGTTGTAAATTTTAAGAGCATGAAAAAATTGTCTATATTTTTATCTGTTTATTTAAACTATTTTTTGAATATCATATATATTAAATTAATCTAATAAAATTTAAATTTTTGTTTCTTGTAATAAATTAAATTAATTTATATTTTTTTTATATCCTCAAAAAACCCAAGTTTTTTTCCACTAGATTTTTTTCTCTTTTTTCTTATCTTTATTTTAATTAATTTTATAACTAATTATTATTAATTAATTATAACTAATTATAATTTGTAATGTGTATGTTTATTTATATTATATTATATTTATTCTTTTTCTTTATCTATTATTCATTATTAATAAATTAAATAGATCAATGTATTAATAAAATTATTTATTAATATATTAATAAATTTATTTATAATCTTAAAATTTAAATATATAATTTAATAATTCTGCGGAATTTGCAAGAAAGAAAGTATTTAACAAAAGAAAGTATTTAATAAAATTTAGATCTTGAATAAAACTGTATAGTTTCATATTCTTGGCATTCTACAACAATTTTTATTTTAAAAAATGCTGTATTATTAATGTACTAATTCATACAATTTGTTTAAACTTTATATACATTTTATTTATAATTAACTGACTATTTATTATTATAAATGGCCAATAAATTAAATTTCAATGAAATTGAAAAGATCTTCTGAAGCAGTCTTGACAAATTATCAATATCGCTCAAACTTTCTTATAAAACTAGTTATTAATAATATATATTTTCATTTTCATTTTCATTCACTTTCATTCATATTCATATTCACCATATTTCTCTGGTAAATAAATATAAAACACAACAATATGTCATGCACCCAAAATTTCCATGTGTTAGCTCCATTCTTAGCATCATCTTTTATCTTATCATAATCATTCCATTGGATACATATAGATACATATATAATATAATACATAATATAATATAATATAATACATATAGATATAGACTAAAGACTTTCATTCATATAAATTAATCTATCAAATTATCATTTTAAACAATTTTTCTTTATATATTATCTATATTATTTTTGTTTATTTTTTCCACAGAAGAAATTTTTCTAATCATAAGATTTATCATTGATTTTTGTAATCATAAGAACCATTCAATTGATCATCAATTGCCTTTTACATTTTGCAAAAAATGAAATTATGAATTATTATTTTATATATTTGGTAACAAATATTTGCTATTAAGTAAATAAATTTATTCATATAATTACATCGTTAATTACATCTATTAAATCCTTAGATATTAATTAATTTATTATATTATTTATAATTTATTAATAATAAAATGCAAATTTATATTTTTATTATTAAATTTTATTATTAAAAGAAAATTCACATCATTTTAATCATACAAAATTCAATCATTTCATTTCTGAATATCACAATTAAGATCAGAAATTGGCTTCTGCTCAACAAAATGAGAGAATATATAGGATTAGAATACGAGATAGATAACATAGTATGTCCATTATCAATATAATATATATATAATATATACTTGATCCTAATTGTAACGTTAATATAAAAATTATCTTTATAAAATATCAACACTATATATTTATAAAGTATGAAAAGAATATCAATATTTTTATTTGAAATATCGAATGATTTTTGATTCGATACGATATTATCTTCATATATAATATTTTATCAAAAAATAATATCAAATACTTAAAATTTTGATACGTATGAATATTGAATCGAAATTTAAATATGAATTCAATTCTAATGCTACTTGTATGTAGGATAATAGTAAGTGATCATTGAACGATCATTATTGAATATCTTTACCGCATTTTTTTCAAATTACTTCGTTTTTATATTAAAAACAAAAATAATATTATAGATTCTTTTAGAAAAAGAAAACTGTCCTTCTAAATTTGATTATTATTTAAATATATTTAAATATTTATAATCTAATAATCAGTCATTTGTTTTATTTGAGAGTCCATAAAATCATTTATTATTAAGTGTAATTGAATAATTATAATTATATATTAATAATAATTACAATTTATTTTAAAAATTATGGGTTTTACTTAAAATTGCAATATATATATATATATATAAATCTATAAAAAACGTCTATTGCAAATTACTATTCTATTGCAAAAATCGAAAAAAATTCATTGAACAATGTAAATTGGACAATTGAAGATTACATTTTACTAATATGTAATACGAAATAATTTATAAATATCATTTATGAATTTATTTACATATATTGAAATATAATAAAATATAATGCCACGATTATTCATGCTAATACATTAAAAGCTTTTAGCTGAATAACAAGCATACATACGTGAAAAATAACATTTGCTCGATAGCGCATCTCCAAACATGACGGCAGTTCGATCCCGTGGG